TTTTTGGATCGACATCCCCGCTCCGTCAGTCTTCGGAGTGCTTTAGAGCCGCTCGGTCCTGTCATTTCCTACCATTCGCATTGTTACAGTAGGAAAAAGGTTTTCTTTTCTTTTTTTCCCCTTCCCACTGTGAAACTTTGGGTTCAGAGCTCCCCAGGATCAGCCCCGAACAAAGCCTCCAGCTGCAGCGCCATCCAATTTGAGGCAGACATTGGGGACAATTTAAGGTTTTTATCCACAAGAAGGTTTTTTTTCCATTCTCTTAAATGCAGCCATAATTAGAGTAATTTTTCATGTAGCCCGCTGATTACAGCGTTTTTACCGTCAAAGATAATTACCTGTAATTTTCTTCCACTTTTAATACTAAAAAGCCATCTTTATTTAGATTCGGGAACAGGAAAGGCGAAACAAAAGAGGAAAATTATTCTGTTATTCATACACAAATTGCAGAGACGTAGGGCCTAAAATTGAAAATTAACCCAAATTATAATGCTGAAAAGAATGGAAGAGGCTTCAGCGGTACAGCTGCGAGCGGGGCTCCCCGCATTATTCAAATGACACCGGCGGCGGCCCCGAGTGCGGGCCGAGGGGGGAGCGCGGCCTTCGCGCCGGGTGCGCTGAGCCGGGCCGGGCCGAACCGGGCCGGGTCGGGTCGAGTCGGTTTTAACCCTTCCGTCGCCGCCCCGAGCGGGCGCTGCGGGCCGCGGGGAAGCCTCCTCCCCGCACCCCCACAACCTCCCGCGAGGGCAGGATCCGGGGAAAGCCAGACGGCGAACGAGCAAAGGAGTAATAAAAAAGAGCCCGGTGAGAGTAACGCGGTGGGAGAAGCGGCACGGGCAGGCCGCTCCGCCGGCGGGATGGGCGGCGAGTGACAGCGGGGGCAGAGCCGCGTCCCACCCGCCGACTCTCATGAAACAGCGGCATCTATGGACCGAGCGGCAGCACGCCCGCCCGCCCGCATCCCGGCCCCCGCTTGGCCGCCGCCCGCCGCAGGCGCTGCGCGGTGCCCCGCCGCCGCCCTCCCGCCCGGCCCCGCCGCCCCGCGGATGTGCGCGCTGTTCCCTCCGCGCGCGGCTGCGGAGAGCGGAGGCGCGACGCCGGGGGACCGCGCAGGGAGCGGCGGCGGAGCCCCGGGGGGAGGCGGGGAAGAGGCGCGGAGCGACCCGGAGCGCGGAGCCCCACACTTACCGTGCCCGGTGGGTCCGGCAAGGCGCGGGGCTGCGCGCGTACACCGAGCCCGAGCGGTGCGGGGTATTTTTCTGCGGCTCAGGGCAGAAGCGCTTTCTCTATATTCGTGGTTGAGTGAGCACATCCAGGTGTGAAATTGTTTGCACACCCCGGCACCTCTTATATTGCCAGCAAAATTAGCTGTTATTACTGTCACTGTTTAGTGATGGTTAGCTTGATAAAAAAAACGGCTGTAATCAAGACCTGGCGCATCTTTGCAAATTACAGATAATTGTAAACGTCCAGATTATGATAATAGCATCCTAATCCAGCCCGCGATGTAATTATTACGGAGTGTTACATCTGAAACTGTCCAGTAGGGCTCATTCAGCCATTATTCAGACCCTATTTTTGCACTGCAAATGGGTTGCTGAGTTGAAAATGTACGATTGTAATTTCGCGGGGCACTCAATGAGTAATGGTATAGGGAGAGAGAAACACAAAAGTGAAACGCGAACGGGAGCGATCAAATCAAACTCCGAAGGACAAAAGAGTGTTTTATTCCGAGGGAACGAGAGGAGCGGGAATTAAGAAAGGAGCGAATCAGCGCTGCGCGGCGGTGCGGGGCCCGGGGGGAGCGGCGCGGGGCGCTGACGGGCGCCTGGGGGCGATGCGCGGGGCGATGCGGCGGGTCCCGGCCCCGCACTGCGGCTCTGCCCGCCGCCCGCGGCCGGCTGCGGGTACCGTGCATCCCCCGCCGAGGTGCGGAGCGGCCTTCCGCGCTGCCCCGCACCCCTGCAGCAGCAGCAGCAGGCAGAGGTCCTTAGGGAAATTAGCGCGCAACCTGCTAATTGTCATTAATTAAGCTCAAAGAGCCCGGCTAACAGGGCTACCTGCGGCTCGCGGGGTTCGCGCGTGGGGGTGGTTCCCTTTCGCCTCCCGATGCGCTTTTGTGAACCCCAGGGACGGTGGGCGCAGGGCCGCATGTGGATGGAGGCTCCAATGGGGACCGGGGAGCGGCGGCTCTTGCAGCGCGGGGCCTTCCTTCGAGCGGGGATGGATGGAAGCGGTGCGAAGGAAAGGGGAGGTGTGGTCCACGGGCAGCGCGAGCCCTGCAAAGGCGCTGTGTGGCGTGCATCGAGGAGAGAGCAGAGGTTTCCCGGTGCGGAGGGTTGCCTGACCGGGGACGGGCAGAGGATCCAGAGCCCGGGGAGTCCGCGCTCAGGCAGCCCCCCACCAGGCAGAGCGACGGCAGCGGGCGGGCGGCTGCGGGCCCGCACCTGGGAGGAAAAGTACGCGGCCGGGGGCTGGGAGTGGAGCGCGGCCCCGTGGGCACACAAACACCGGGGGAGGGCAGGGGCTCGGCCCCCGCCGCCGTGTGAGGGGGCTTTGCGCGGAACGAAGGGCAGCGTCGAGGTTGGAACACAGGTTCTTCCCCCC